GCACTTTAACGATGAATGGGTTTTTGATTAATTTGAATCCAGCTCACTTAGTTCAGGGAAATAAGACTGCAATTCCATCTGCACGGAAGACAGATGTGCCTGCACTAGTTGCACCATTTGTAGTTTTCCAGTGCCTCACTAAGGTGTTCAAACATAATAAGTTTTTTGTCATTGACCTTACCCTCCCATAGCTCAGTTTCATGTTGAACTATTTGAGTTTGTCCACTGGTTATCGGACAATTTCTTGACGAACTCAAGCGGTTTTGTCTTGTTATCACGTTTGCAGAATTAAAAAACTCCTGTTTCAGTGACTCCTCTCTTGATATTACATTCTCCACGACAGCCAGAGAACCTCGGTGTAAAAAAGCAACACTTCTTCATTAGCACCAAACTCTTGGCACAGTCAGTGGATGAGTCGAGTATTGATGGCATTTACCATGTTTCAGGATTCGCCTTCTTCATTCTTCCTTGAAACCCCTATTGACGGCCAAGCATTGCTGGTGCTCCGTCAGTTGTGCACACACATTGTCCCAAGATAGTCCTTCAGCCACAAAAATGTGGAGATTTCAAGGAAAATGTCTTCGCCTCTTGTAGTAGACTCCAGAGCACAATAGAACAAGAAATTCTCATTGAAATCTCCACAGCTGATGTATTGCACAAACACGAGTAGGTGGGAACAACCAGCAACATCTGTCAACTCGTCAAGCTGAATTGCAAATTTGCCTGAAGATGCTCCCTGTATTTCGTTGATGGACAATGTCATTTGAGTAGAAGAGGCACTGATGTATTTATGACCTGACCTCATATTTAGTATAGTCACCCTGTGTACTTAAGCCTTTCTCAGTCCTTGTAATTCAGTTGCCTCTGAAGATGTCTTGAATAAAGACGAAAGCTAAGGTGCTCCTTTGTTTACCTTTTCCCGTGTGATTTTATCAAGATTTATCTTATCCTCGTTTTCATTGTGGATCTACATGAAATAAATAAATAAATAAATAAATATATATATATATATATATATATATATATATATATATATATATATATATATATATATATATATATATATATATATATATATATATATATATATATATATATATATATATCAACACCTCAACCCCAGGATTCGAACCCACGGCCCACGAGCCTGACTGTGACCGGGGAACGCTATCCGCTGGACCCAGGATACTAAAAGCAGTCCTAGACTTTGTTATATTTCACACAAAGCCTGTTCAACGAGCTTATGGCGCCGTGAACCTCAAATGGGGACTACCCGTATCACGTAGGTGGTCAGAGTAACGTTTTACCAAATCCGGCTTCGAAACACGAGGATATATATATATATATATATATATATATATATATATATATATATATATATATATATATATATATATATATATATATATATATATATATATATATATATATATATATATATATATATATATATATATATACAGTATACACAGTGGTACCCTGATTTACGCGGTCAATTGAACTCACAGGGTACCGCGGAAAGTGAAAACCGCGTAAAGTGAACAACAGAACATATGGGATTAATTCCAATAGAGACTGGCCCGACCCCCAAACTCCACTTTTTGACGACACAAAACTATGTTGTAGTAAAAATATTATCTTAACTTCATGATGGTATGCACACACAATTAATATAGAAGAGGTTAGGTTAGGAAAAATAAAGGTTATGTTAGGAAAAATAAAGTTTAGGTTTAACACTTACGTTAGTAGAAGAGATGGGTCGGCATATGGGGATGGAGGCTGGTTCCGAGGCAGAGGGCAGATTACTGGCCCTCAGGTGAATCACCATCACTAGGTGAATCACCATCACTATCTGCCATAGTTGTCAGGGCCTCCCTGACAAATCCCTCAAAGTCACCTTCACTGTCACTATCACTGGCTCGGGCTGGTTGTGGTGGGTTGCAGGCGAAGAACTCGGTAATGCTCTTTTGACGGCTAGTGTTGATGTTGTTTTGATACACCTTGATGTACGGCCCCAGAGCCTGCACCAGCCGGGTATGGAAGACTTCATAGCGGTCATCGTCATGGTCGTTGGAAAGGAAGAGCTCCAATTTCTCTGCACACTCGATGGCACCCTTAATATTACTATGCGTTAACTTGTGTTCTTCTGGGGTTGACGCACCACCTGCCTCTTCTCTGACGTGACCATCTTCCAACATCTCGTCGGCAGTCATTTCAGGATCTCTGATCATCTCCAGGATGTCTTCGTTGGTGGTCTCGGAGAAGCCTTCAGCTGTAATACTGTGCGCAGCTTCTCTTGCAAGGTCCAATGTCACTGTAACAGACTGAACCTCACCAGTCACAGGTTGACTCCGCCTCTCACCTGGTATACCATGCAACACATGCCTCCATGCGTGACGAACCGTAGCTATAGACAACTGATCCCATGCCTCCACCAAGAAGTCCACAGCTTGTTTGACGTTTAATTTTTTCCAAAACTGTTTGACGAGAACTTCTTGATTCACCACCTCTTGTTCCTTTTCCTAGTCGCTTTTGCTCTCGCTATCGGTGTCACCCAGCTTACGCAACTCATCCTTGGTGTTGGTACAGTCGTTCAGGAGCTTAAACTTCTTTGCAGAGTATGCAGCTTTCACACTGCATATCAACTTCTGGTCCATGGGCTGGATTAATGTCGTAGTGTTGGGAGGAAGGAAGACCACTTTTACGTTGGGGTGACGATCCATAAGTAGTGGTGAGTGTCCTGGTGCGTTGTCAAGGAGCAACAGAATGTTGAAAGGAACATTCTGTTGCTTGCAGAATTTCTTCACGTCGGGAACGAAACAGTCATCAAACCAGGAGAGTGACAGAGCAGAGAACATCCACGCCTTACGTGAGGTCAGCCAGTGGACATTAATCTTGCTCATGTCCACGTTCTTGTAGGCATGCGGCTTGCGGGCTGTGTGGATCATCGATAACTTGAGTTTACAGGTACCGGAGGCATTGGTGGTAAAGAGGACGGTGATGTGCTCCTTCTGCAACTTCCGGCCCCGAATCTTGCTGGCAGACTGGACAATGAAGGTCTTGGTAAGCAACTTTTTCCAAAATAGACCGGATTCGTCCATGTTGAACACCTGGTCGTCGGTGTACTGTCCTTCCTCCATAATCTCACGTAAAAACGGGGGAATATCTCTGGCCGCCACCCACACGGTCAGCACTCGCTTCTTAACGACCAATTTTGATGTTGGTGATCTTGTTCCTCTTCTTAAACCTATGCAGCCAACCAGAGGAAGCATTGAAGGGTTTGGGCTCTGCAATTCCCATCTTACGTGACACTGCTGTGTACAGTTCACGGGCGTACTCTTGAACGAATCGCGTGTCCACTGCCATGTTGCATTGCGCCTGACGAATCAAGTAACTCACCAGCAAATTTTCAACCTTTAGCAGCACCTTGTTCTGGCAATACTTGATCATTGAAGCACCTGCAGACTTTGTGATTCTCATGTGTTCTTTGATCTTGGCTGCATCCTTCTTAATAGTACGAATCGTAGATTCGTTGACTCCATGCTGGGGCGCGAGATCAGCTTGACGTGTTCCTTTCTCCAAATCTTGAATGATCTTGTATTTCACTTCGTAGCTTAGGGAACATCGTATCTTCTTTGGCTTAGGGCGGCTGGGTCCAGGTAAGGCAAGGTTTCTCTCTGGGGGCGGTGGTCCGGCGGAAGCCATTTTACAGAACAATGGATGCACATTTACACGGTTTGGCCTGGAGGGATGAAACTGACGCGGCTAGGTCAAGCGTCGTCTTTCCTCCCTCCCGCGGGTGGACACGTCATATTACTTTAAACCAATCACAGCTAGCAGCGGAGGGAAGTAAGGATGCATGGCCCAATCACAGTCCGATATGTCATATGACGTCACTGATAATGCAACAGAGACATGCACTGCGCAACCTTACCGCGCGGCTTGCCCAAGCGGGAGAAGGCGGGAGGGTCGAATCTAAAAATAGCGTCGTGCCAGATTCTCTGCGCGTATATGGGTAGATGCACCGCGTAAAGTGAAAGTTCGGTTCTGGCGAGGCACCGCGTAAATGAGAAATCGCGGAAAGTGAAACCGTGTAAAGCGAGGTATTATTGTATACCGTATATAATTTTGTATTGTACTCACTGATGGGGGGAGGTGATGGAGCGAATGTGTGGTGGGTAGTGGAGCAGAGGAGGATGGCGGGAGAGGAGGAGGGTGGTGAATCACAGAGACTCGGAGGGTGCCGCCGCCTCCTCCTCCCGCTCTGACTGGCGTTTCTCCTCTATTTTCGTAGCAAGGCTAATGGTTTTATGTTGCTTCTTCAAACACTAGCATCAGTAGCACTTGATGGGCGCTTGGAAGCCATTGCGAATGCTTAGAGTACAGTATTTATAGCAGAAACACTTAAGCACAAACGAATGGTGTGGAAGCCTAACAGAGGCTGGCTTAGAGTCGCTTGGGGACGCCGTGATGTTCCACGAGTTAGAGGTACAGTCTTGCGCCGAGAGAGGGTGATGTGCTGTAAAAAGTAGTCCGTGATGATGCAAAAACGACGTTATATTAAGTCGTCGGGACGTTAAACGAATTTTTGGTATCTAAAGATTAGCGATGTAGTACCAAAACAGCATTAAGCGGGCCGACGTTATGCGAGGACTTACTGTATATGTATACAACTTCACTGGGAAAAATCATACTTCTATCCATTGTAACCCCCAGGTACCTTTATGGGTAATGGCTACAATCACCATTTGCTGATGGGCCTGTGCAAAAATTCCACCAACACCTATTATTAATCTAGTCTACTGTTCAAATTAATTGAAAGGATTATGTTCTAGCTCTGTACACTTATCTTTCTCCAACCACAAACTTCTTGCCTGTGACATGGCCACCCTTTAATCTGAATACAGTACATGGTTGAATATTTTACCAGAGCATGGGACAAGGCCTCCATGAGAAGGTTGGATTTTTCAAGCAGGGCTGGTTGACAATTATACCAGGTCTTTGAGTGGATAAGTGGTTATTTCATTAACAAGGAGAGTTCACATATACAGTATATGTAGTTGCCTTTGACAGTGGAATAAATTATTTTATAGTTTTCCCCCGAGGTACGTACTCATAATGTGACACCCTACTCCTGGATGGGTGAGCAGGTGTGGGTGATATCAGAAGGCAGATGAATGTTCACAGTATTCTTTTGTGTTCCACAGTTGAATATACAAGTGCAAAAAATATATCCTTAATAGGTGCAGGTCCATTCATTTCCGAGGGGTGAATCCTGTGACTCCCTCAATCCACACCTTTATAAGAATTTCCTGTAATTCTAATTATGGCCTCACCAGGGGGTCTCTTTCATCACAGACTGAACACCCATGCCTAGAATGAAAAAATGAAGGTATATTCACAGGGACTGAGTTACTCAACATTAAACAGGTTGTCACTTTAATATCGAATTTACAAATTTGTGATACAGGGTGAAATAAAAAATATTGGAAAGACAAATTTAAGCCTAAAAAGTAATAGAAGTGGAAATTAAAACCCCTTTTTAATGTGGTTAATTCCTATAACACTGCATGTACTGGTTGACAATCCCTTATCCAAAATCCTTGGGGCCAGATGCATTTCAGATTTCGAAATTTTTAGGATTTCAGAATGGTTAGGTTAGGTTTTTATTTATTTTTTTTATTTTTTTATTTTTTATATATTAATTTTTTTTTTACAGGGATCAGACCACCCGGACACAGGTCACTGACCCACATTGGGGCCTGAGGGGCTAAAATTTAATAATAATTATAATTCTGTAATAATAATAATTCATAGGTCTAAGTCATGTTCCTCAATTTTGATCTTTTTTTCATTCTTGTATTTCTTTATTATTATTATTATTATTATTTTTATTTTATTATTACAGTATTACTGTTATTATTATTATTAATTTTATTATTGTTATCATTATTATTTTATTTTTGTGTATTTTTTGATAAATTTTATTTACTATGAATAATTATTATTATTATTATTATAATTATTATTACATTTTCGCCCCCCAAGCCCCAATGTGGGTCAGTGACCTATGCCCGGGTGGGATAATCCTTGTTTAAAAAAAAATAATAATAATAAAAAAATAAAATAACAAAATTTGCTCCACAAAAAACTTTGGGTTTTCAGAGGTTTTCGGAATTTCAGATAAAGGGTTGTTAACCTGTATTGGGTATCATTGGAATTAAATTAGCCAGTACAGTATTCATGTACTACAGGAGATATGAAAACAAAATTTACACTTTTTAGAAGACTTATACAGTATAGTCTGGATTTACGCAGTTTTTGTTCACGTGTTTGGTCATTTACGCGGTGCCTTGCCAGAATGAAAATGCTTTAATTACGCTGTAAATTTGGTCATTTACGCAGTTGGAGAGGTCCAGACATCTGCGCCATTTTTTACCCACGCGGTTAATTCTTGACCATACGCGGGAAGCGGTGCGGTGAGGGGTGCGCATTAGGCCGCTCTTATGTTATCGCTGACGTCATATGACGTATCGGACTGTGATTGGGCCACGCATCCTTACCACCCACGCATTCCCTCCGCCGCTAGCTGTGATTGGTCTAATGTAACATGACGTGTCCTGCCACCAGAGGGTAGAAGTTGCTGACCTAGCCGGGCCTGTCTCATTGTTCTCAGTCCACGTATACAGTTCTCTCTTGTGCCCTCTATTCCCCTCACAATGGCCTCTGCGGGACCACCAGAGAAAAACATTGAATTACCTGGCCCAAGCCATGATAATGTGAAGGAAATCATCAAGTTGGGGGAGAAAATTAAGCTCATCCTTGACAATGACCCAGATAAGCATCGGTATGAAGTGTCTAATAACCATCTGACGAAAGTTATGGAGCCGTATATCCAGATCTATCTCGACAACATCAATGCTAGTCGTCAACATAGTATTAAGGACTTCTTCTCCCGCAACCCACCACAACCACAGCCAGCCCAAGTCAGTGATAGTGACAGTGAGGATATGGACTTTGAGGGGTTTGTCAGGGAGGCCCTGCAAACCTCTGCTAGTAGTGAAAGTGAAAGTGATTCACCGGGGAGGGCAACTAATCTGCCTTCTGCCTCGGAACCAGCAACCATCTACGTGTGCCGACCCAGCTTTTCTACTAACGTAAGTGTTAAAAAACCTAATATTATTGATATTTCTCATAATTATTAATTGTGTGTGCATACCATCATAAAATTAAGATGTTATTTTTACAACAACGTACGTATTGTGTCGGAAAAAGTGGGGTTTGGGGGTTGGCCCAGTCTCTATTTCAATTAATCCCATATGTTCTATTATTTCATTTACGCGTTTCTCGTTTTACGCGGGCCTCCACGGATTTAATTGACAGCGTAAATGCAGACTATACTGTATAGGAAGTTTTTAAGATCAAGAAATTTTACAAATATTCAAGTTACTATAATATCTCCCTGTCTCAGGAACGAACATCACAAAAAATGGTAAAATATTGGAATTTTCTGAGTTGTTAAATACATTTAATTTTCCTGATATTGATAGTAAAACAGTTTATTTTGCCAGAAAAATACAGTTACAGAATTGTTAACCCGTACAGCGTCAATGGCGTAACAGTTACTCCGATATACTTTGGAGATAAATAAATAAGTACTGTAACATCTATACTTATAACGCAAAAGAGAAACCAAATAAAAAATAAATAATTATAAAATCACACAAAAAAAATAAGTACTGGTGAAAGTTATGAAAATGAATGTAAATAATACGAAAAGGGATAAATATACTATATTGATGTTCCGAAATCGAGATAGATGATAAATAAAGAAAAAACAGCTACAGACAATGAAAACTTACAGTAATTAGCATAATTCCACTCTCACTCGATGAAAAACGTCAACACCCGTAAAACTCTACAGGTTCTACCCGTAAACTTTGAACACCGCGACACGTTCATCCATGGGCGTAACTACATCTTCCATGGTCCGGTGGGTTGCTAAATGATGGTTTTCCTTCATTATATGATAGTTTAAGTCCATTTCAGCCATAATCCAAAAGTAAAAAATTTGCCGACACCAGCTGAACATAATTACAGCTCCTCCCTGACTTACGACGGGGTTAGGGTCCCAAATCCAGGTCGTAAGTCGAAAATACTTAAATAATACATATGAAATCTAAAATGGGTGTCTCTTTTTCTTCTCAGCACCACAAAACTCTCACTTTTAAGCTTGACAGCCGTTTTAAAGTGAATTACAAACGAAAATTTTGTCGGTGTACTGATATTGGGACTCAAAAATACATAATTTGACAGAATTTTGGTACGACTGAAGCAGGTCGTAAGTGCTGGTGGTCATAAGTCGAGTAGGTCGTAAATCGGGGAGGAGCTGTATATTGGTGATAATGACTAAGAATTTAATTTCAGTTCACAAAATTATTAATATCAATAACACGAAGAACACTTACCATGATATACAGCACGGTCATACTGATTTTGCAGCTCATCCTTGTTGACAAAAACGGAGACTGTCTCAGAATCAACAAATTCTTCATTTGGATCAGAAGAGTAGAAAACCTCCCTCACTGTCCTTGATGGTCTTATACTGTTCCCTTGGGAAGGATGCACAGCAGCCAGTGTGCTTGATCTTGTAAATGGGCCAACTGAATGTCCTAGTGTACTCTTAGTACTGCGATCTGGCTGTCGAATGTTAATTGTGACGGTGCCATCTTCTGAGGTGATGGCTGTGGTGTGGGTCTGAGAAGAGGGGGGATAGTCTACTGGCGTGGCTGCAGAAGTACCACTACTATGGGCTGGACTGTCATTAAATGACAAATACTGCATTCCTGGCATCTGGGGGAGAAAATGTAAAATAAATACTATAAGGTGTAGGTAGAGACCACAACATTAAGAGGGTATTCTCTGACTAAAGGAAAGGTACTTATGGTATATCATGATCATTGAAGCATAAAACCTTGCATTCCTTGTTCAGAAACCAAATTTGGAATGGACCTTGAAATCCCTTTTAATGCTCAATGGCAAGTGACCATATTCAGTAAGGCTACACCTAGGATTTCCACCTTTTTGGAAGAAGAAAGAAGAAAAAGAAGAAGAAGAAGAAGATGACGAAGAAAAAGGAGGAAGAAGAAGAAGAAGAAGAAGAAGAAGAAGAAGAAGTAGTAGTAGTAGAAGTAGAAGTAGAAGTAGAAGTAGAAGTAGAAGTTGAAGTTGAAGTTGAAGTTGAAGTTGAAGTTGAAGTTGAAGTTGAAATTGTTGAGATGCCTCCATACATGTGTCAGGAATCTCTCTCTCTCCAACACCACCCACACACCCCCAACACCAACCGCACATCCCCCACCCGCACACCCCTAACACCGCCCACCTGCACAATCCCAACACTGCACACCCCAACACCACTCACACGCAAACCCCCAAAGTAATAAACAGGACCAACCACACAGGCCTGCGCCTGTGTGGTTGGAAAATATCTCTTTCCATTTCCCTTCCTAACTACAGCTGCTCTTTGACTTACGACAGGGTTAGGGACCCAAATCCAGATCGTATGTCGAATTGGTCGTCAGTCGAAAATGCTTAAATAATACATTGAAAATCTAAAATGGAAGTCTCTTTTTCTTCTCAGCACCACAAAACTCTCTTTTAAGCTTGCCAGCCATTTTAAAGGGAATTACAAACGAAAATTTTGTCAGTACAAAGCACAATCAATAACGTCGGGACTTGAAAATACGTAATTTGACAAAATTTTGGTACGACTGAGGCGGTCGTATGTCCGGGTGGTCGTAAGTCGAGTAGGTCGTAAGTCGAAGAGTAGCTGTAATAAATTAACCTAAATATTTTGCCTGGTGAGGATTTGTCGGTACTCTTGCACATTGGCACGAAGCACCAATGACTCTTTGTCCTTTCCTTGAACATTGTATATGGCCACAAGTCCTGTATTTCTGCTGGTAACAACACATACACCACAGCTAGCTGCCTCCAGGCATCCCGCTTGGAGGCTCGAGCTAGTATGTGATGTCACAACCAATCACAGAACTTTTTGCAGTCACATGACTTTTTAGCTACTTTAACCCTTATTTTTTACACTTTTTGGCACAATTTATTTAAAAATATCATTACCATTGTGAATTTAAGAGTTTTCTTTACCCATTGACTTGCCATCTTACGAAAAAATTCAACTGACAACTCATCCATTATATACGCACCATTCATCATCTAGATATCGGCGAAATAACAATACTGACCAGTTTAATGTCACTAATTTAAAAGCTAATGAATCTTGTTTTATTATCTCAGTGCTGCCTCATGCTACTAATTGAAATAATGGTGAATAATATTTACTCGTCTCAAACTGTGAACAGGCCACTCCAAAAATTACCCATCGCTAAAATAGCAGGTCTTTAATGTGTCTAGAAATAATGCTTATTTAGTTCTTCCAATCACCCACATGAAAAGTGATATAACATGTACAGTATATTTTGGCCGAGAGATAATTAAGTACAACATTAAGCGTTCCAGTCAGAATATTGAACACAAAATAACTTAATGTAATTTATCTATATGTTATTCCTTTCACATTATTCCACAGACTCATAACACAATTAATTTATAGAGTATAATTATGGCCGTTATGAGGCCCTCAAATCCCAACCTAATTCAACCATGGAATACACGACATAAAGATAATATGTATTTGGTAGCGTAGAGAGACAGCCAAGGCTCGTGAGACGTTTGTTGTAAGAACAAACACACCGCTCATCACCAATTTATAGCATAAGTTGTTGATCTACTTACCCTATTCAGCCAGGGCAGCACTGGAGTTAATTAAAGGTGGGTCACTTGACTATATACCGTATTTGCCAGCATATAAGATGCACCACCGCATAACATGCACCCCTATTTTACAAGGATATTTTGTGGGGGGTTTTTAGTATGTTTCGTCATACAATTATTGAAAGTGGTTTAGTAGGGGAAAACATGATTTTGTGCATGTAAATACAATACAGTTGTACCCCGCTTAACGCGGTCAATTGAACCCACAGGGCACCGCGTTAAGTGAAAGTTCGGTTCTGGCGAGGCACCGCGTATATGAGAAATCGCGTAAAGTGAAACCGCGTAAAGCGGGGTAATACTGTATACAATAAAGCCTCCGATAACAACGGTTCGACCAACATCTTTTCATATTTAAGACTAGTAAATTTAGGGCCCAATTCAATTTACATCTTTATTTCATTCGTATTTACAATCAAAATATAATAAAAATTAAATAAAATTACATTTTCATATAAATAATAACTAAATCCCGACATGTATTATAAAAAAAAATAAAAATTACTGTAAACAAAAATGAAGAGCGCCTTGCGCAAAGAAGCTGCCTGGCTAGTGAGTGGTAAACAACAGTAGGAGGTTGGCTGGCCTTTTTTTTTCACGCATCTGGAACAGGGAGAAAAACTTTCTCAAGTTTTTTACAGCATTTTTGCATCCCTATTCAACACGAGCAAGAAAGCAAGTGATGGTAGTGATGCTTCAAAAGCTAATAGAAAGTGTCTAAGCTTAGCCTTCTGAGAAACTAGACTTGTTAAAACGATATGAAAAAGATGAAAGGTCTATGGATATTATATGGAGCAAGCAATGAACATATATTTTCTGAAGTGGATCCATTAACAGAACAAAGCATTAAAATTTAAATAAACGCAAATGACCTCTACATAATGATGTATAATGAGAAAAGAAAGCAGCTGTGTAAGGTTCTTTTGAGAGCTTTATTATTCGAAGGCCTAAACCATCAACTTCAGCTATACCATCAAATTCAGCATCATAAGCAGCTTCAACATCAACTTCAGGTTCAGTAACAGTTTCAGCAACAGCTTTATGGAACACTACAGCTTCAGCCAGAGTTGAACCTGATGACTTCGCCATCTGAGTAAAACTCGCGCAATATTCATTGGCTGTCCTTATGTTTTAGACCTTACCACCATTGGCGAGTAGAATTTTTGTTTTACATTTGTAAATATTATTTAAAACATAAATGAACAGTAAATAAGTGTTGCTTTCATATTCATATGTAGTGAAATGACGATATGTTTTCACATGTATGCACTTACTGTTCATAAGATGGCGTTCCCAATCGTCTAGCCTTATTTCTTTACCATTAGTGGTTAGCTGCTCCTAGTGTTCCATTTATTAACATGAGATAACATTACTTAAAACGTACATACAGGTGTTACCGCCACAGTAGGATATGCCACCGCCACAGTAGGATCAACTAGAAGAGAAAGAGAAAGGGAGACAGGAGAGAGACAGAGTGTTGACAACAAACTTTGCTGAGGTGTTAAATGTGAAACAGATGGCCCTCGCCTCGGGCTGACTCACTCCCTGTGGGGTTCAGAAGATAGTCTCTAGCCATCCAGTGAGCTAACAAGTCAGGGAGCTAATAAGTCCTACATTAGACCCAAAACACGTAAGTTTTATATGGTTTAACACCCCACTCTACTCAAATATATCATATGTAGTTGTTAATAGTGAAGGAACATACGAATGAATTAATTATCTCATATGTAACATGTGCAATTTGTACTCTGTAGGTTTTGACCGAATAAAGAACAATCGAGTCCTATGGGCAAGGGTCTCATTATCCCACAGTCACTCATTGGGCGGTTACACAGGTAATCAATTTTTTTTTTTAAATTAAGTTCACTACAGCTACAACCAGGGTCTTATTTTCTTGTTTCTTATGTAGAACCATCGTCACTCACGAAAACAATGCCGTCTTGTCTCCTCGTGTGTTATAATATTTTACTTATTATTAATGAATTACATTGTTCATTTCACATATATAAACATTAATTCAATCAAATATATATTCAGTAATAAACAATAATGAATCTTTTGTACATATTCTTAAGATAAATGACTGTTTCCTTGAGTGCGCACGTATACATTGGCATTCCACTATCAGTCTCACTTTTTCTTTAATATCAGTGGTTACCTGGCACTTCCTCTGTACATTAAATAACATCAATTAAAACATACGGGTACATATTTTTTACATTAAATTTGCTACAACAACAACCAGGGTCTTTTTTTCTTCAGCTTCAAGTGGATAACTGACATTTCGGGTGTAAACACTGACAATGGCGTCTCTTATCCTCTTGTGTGTTTTAATATTCTACGTATTATTAATGAATTGTATTGTTCATTTCGCATATGTAAAGATTAATTCAACCAAATACATATTCAGTAATAAACAATAATGAATCTTTTGTACATAAGTATTCTTGAGATAAATGACGTGGTATCCTTAAATGCGCACGTATATGCTGGCGTTCCCAATCCATCTCTTCTTTTTTCTTTGCCATTAATGGTTAGCTACTTCTATTGTTCCATTTATTATGTGAGTTCTATCTTCAAGAAGGGCGATCATCACTCCACGAACAACTATAGACCAGTGAGCCTAACCAGCATAATATGTAAAGTACAGGTGTTCCTCTAGATTTTTTTTTTTTACGGGAATTAACCCACCCAGGCACAGGTCAAACGACCCACAACGGGGCCTGGGAGACGAAAAAATAAGAACAGAAAGAAAAAGGTTATACTGTGTTAATCTGCACCACGTAGATGACGGAAAACCAGCTTTTTAAGTGAGACAGATTGTATAAGTACTGTATGGAAACACAGAAGAAGGCAGAGCATTCCACAGTTTGGCTGTGTGAGGAAAGGAGGAGGTACTATAATGGATTATTCTAGTGTGACTGACATCAACAGAGAAACGGTGGGCACAGCGGGCAAGACGTGTGTTACGAGCCCATGGCCTTGCCGTCGGTAGACAGGATGCCAAATCCACCGAACATTGCCCGTTAAAGTACCTGTAAAAGAGAGAGAGTGAAGGAACATTGCGGCGAAGAGAAAGGAAATACAGTAGAGATTGTTGACTAAAGGAGGAGAGTTAATAAGATGAAATGCCTTTGATTCCACCCTATCTAACAGTTGGACAAAAGAAGAGCCACCCCAGATATGAGAGCAGTACTCCAAGTTAGGACGAATGAATCCATTTTACTGTATACTTGGAGCAACTGCTCAGGAGTGAAGTAGCTATGGCATCTATACTTAAGAACGTTCAACTTAAAAACTTTCAGAGATACAAACATCATTGCTGAGGGAGGTTACTTGCCAGAACAGGTGTTTAATGTGGGTGAGACTGGATTATTTTTAAGAAAATTCCAGATAGAACAAACATTACCTGAGAGGAGAAGAGTGAGCCAGGTTTTAAGGCTGCATTAAAGGGTATAGCTGTACTAAATATCCATTATCTTTTCATTTTTTGCAATATGTTTGGCATCTACAAGAGTAAAGCTGGACTTACAAACAATTGGACTTACAAACAAGTCTCAGGAACGTAACTCGTTTGTAAGTAGAGGGGCACCTGCATTGAATTTAACCAAGTTTGTACCTCCCCATTCAGAGATGCTGCACAGATCCACATTGATAGAAGTAATGATATCAGCTCTAGAAACAGATCTAGTTTGAGTGTTAGGGGGAAGGGCAAAATGTGAAGAAGAGTGAAGAGTAGAATCATCAGCGTAAGAATAGATAGAATTAGTTGTAGTGTGAAGTAAATCATTGATAAAAAGAAGGAAGAGAGTAGGTGAAAGAACAGAACCCTGTGAGACACCACTATTGGTAGAGAAAGAGCGAGAGATCGATCCCTCGACAACAACTGCCATGGATCGGTTCTCAAGGAAGCTAGAGACTAGAAAACAAAGTGGAGGAGAGAAACCAAAAGAGGGAAGTTTAGAAAGCAAAGACATGTGCCATACCCTGTCAAATGCTTTGGAGGTGTCGAGGGCCATGACGAAAGTTTTCCCATAATCCATAAGAGAGGATGACCAAAGATGGGTGCAGTAGGAGAGCAGATCACCAGTAGATCTCGCCTGGCGAAAGCCATACTGGCGATCCAACAAAAAAGAATGGTGTTCAAGGTGACGGAGAAAATGGGAGTTCAAGATAGCATCAAAAATCTTAGAGAAGGATGAAGTTAGGGCAATGGGGTGATAGTTAGAGTATAAATTAAAAAAAATAGAATACTGTATTTTAACTTACTTTGAGGTGTGTATGTTGTATTCCCAGCAGCTTTGTTTACATATCGAACAGCTGATTGTAGAGGCAGTCAATGATGACATGCCATATTCTTTACAGAGTGCATTGGTTCTAATGCCTTCTTCATGTTTCTTTATGTTTCATAATAATTTCTGCACTGTATATTATCAATGTTAACTAAATTTCAGAATGACCAATAATTTTAATGTAAAAATGCAAAAATATTCAAGAGACCAACAAACTGGATGTTCACTCCTCTGTAAACAAAGTTAAATTGCGAAAGCGTTGGTGGGTGATTCGATCAGCTGATTGGCACAAAAAAACTGTTCCCTGTACTGTATATATTATCAATATGATAACTAAATTAGAATGACCAATAATTTTAATATAAAAAATGCAAAAAAATTCAAGAGCACAACTTTCTTGATATTTACTCCACTGGAAACGAATGTAAACATAGAACCAATTACAGTGGCCCCTCGGTTAACGAACTCAATCCGTTCCAGAAGGTCGTTCGTTAACCGAAACGTTCGTTAACCGAAACCATTGTTTCAATGGGTTTTTGGGTAATTGGTTCCAGCTCACCGAAAATTTCCTAAATTCAACAAAAATGGTAGAAAAGTTCACTTACTTTGAGGTGTGTATGTAGAAGGCTCCTGGATGATGATGATGATGATGGGATTTAGAATGGGGGTGGAGGAGAAGGAAGAAGAGAAGGCATTGGGGTGGAAGAGAAGTCACCCCATGGTGCCATTTCACCCATAAAATTTTAGCTCTCTGGTTTAATTCAAGATTATTTTCTTTAAATCAACGCTGCACTGCATTATATATTGTCAATATATAAAATATATTTCAAAATGACCAATAATTTGCTTGGAAACACAGAAAAAAAGCGTTTAGTTGAAGAGAGTCTCAAGCAAGATGTTACCTCCAGTGAAAACAGAGAGAGACTGACGCCTGTTTGCTGTGTTAAGAGGCTGGATGCCGCGCATTAAACTAGTCACTTTACCTTCAATTTTGTTCAATAATTGTTAAAATGACTAAAAAATTGAATATTAAACTTTTAAAATTATTGAATAGTATAAACTTCTTGATATTTACAAAAATAGTAAGGAATTTAAGCCCTAGAACCGATTAATGTATTGGCGGACTGATACTAAACCTGGTTGCCCGGTCAGTGCAAGCGAAAACATGTTGAGGTCGGTTCGTAAGAAGTTCGTTAAGCGAATTTTTTTTCGTTAACCGAATTGAAGATCCTTATGGAAGGCAGTTCGTTAATCGAAATTACGTTAACCGAGGTGTTCGTTAAACGAGGGGTCACTGTACTGCACTGTATTGGCGAACTAGCCGATCAGCTGATGTGCACAACAAAGTGTGTTTTTTCGAAAGGTTTTCGTTAATCAAAGTTTTGTTCGTTAATGGAATTGAAAATCCTTATGGGAGCTAATTCGTTAACTGAAATTTCGTTAATTGGATCGTTCCTTAATCGAGGGACCACTGTACATGTAAGTATTGTACAGTTTCTCAATTTGTATTTTTGGGTCGATTTAGGGGATTTTTAGGAGTGTTTCTGACTTTATACGGTTGCGAATCTACTGTAAATAAATTTATCACTATATATTGGAAAATGTCGTGATAAATTCGAAATATTTCCTGCCCGACTTCCCTCACAAAATATCACTATATATACTGTATAGGAAAATGTCTATAATTTGGTAGCCGCGATATAAAACAATCGTTATATAAAGTCGGTATATATATATCCCGACCCTACTGTGCTGTACTTTAGTCATATAATTAGGGATGAAGGGATAATTACTGAAATATTAATGGGCAAGGGGAAATCAGAGACTGAAATGGATGAAAGAAATTAAAAACTGGGTCCCCAGAGAGATAAAAAAACCTTGGAGGATTGGTAAAAACAGCCCAAAAATTTTTAGAGTGGAGGACTGTGGTCGCCAACCCTCAGATATGAAACCGGTACAGTACTCTGATTGATTGACTCACAGTACTGTACTCTTTTTATATTTTAAAATGTGTGACCACTCTTAGCTCAAGAGTTTCCAAGCTGTCTAGGCACCCATATAATCATGTCTAACCATTAAAAAAAGGCAGAAAAAGTGAAAACAATAGTTCTGCAAATCATACTCAATCCTTAAAGTGCTAGTGTGAACATATTTCCTTGGCTGCTGCAGTGTGTTAGTGGAAGCAGGTTTCTTGTTTGGGACCAGCCTAGAGGGTGAACATTTTCCACCTTACAGTGCAGTGTTGTCACATATGCTCAGTCGGCCTGACACTTTAAAAAAAACCTTACCCCTCACAAAATCCAGAAAATATTGGATGCTTTGACATTGATACTGATAAGGAAGATTTACGAGATAGTCAAAGTGTGCAAATAAATTAGCAAGAAAAGCAGGCATGCTCCAGGTCACTGATGCACTGTGGTAATATGTGGATGGCTCATGAAGTTATATCATAAGTGGCTCAAGTAGCCTACATGAACTAAGGTCTTTCATTCTATGAGAAAAATGCAAACTTTTCAAAATTTTATGTTTACTTAAAATAGGCAGTCTGTGAAGTGGTTAAATTTCTAAAATAAACTTTTATGTTTTAAGTGAAGAACTGTACCATTTATGTGAAAAGAGGCCATAAAAATATCCCCCTGGGAACATAACCAAAACTTATAAAATTAGATTTATTGTAGTTTTGGCTTCACTAATGCTCATTTTGCTATTACTGTAAAGCACTTGTAATCACGTTTTTCAGGAACAGAACCCCAATAAATAATGAAGACTGCCTGTATACAATATATACTGTACTCCATACTCAAAAACAGTGAATAAAATTCTGCCATACCATCTGTGTAGGCTGATGAAGATCTTGTGGAGGTTTTGCTTCTGTAATAACTTCAAGTGTCCCATCTCCACACTCCTCTCCTGGAAGGGCCAATAATGCAATGTGAAATTTAGTGATATCCTGCAAGATAAAATCATATCAATATGACAGGTACAGCACCTTACTGACTGCAATAAAATCAGAAAACCAGTACATGTACAGGTATTCTAGTATGTGGAAAATGAGTGACTGATTCTTGGAATCCAATTTTATGATAAAAAATGGAGCAAATTACTAATGATTTGGTCTATTCTTAAAAGAAGGGGTGTTTTTATATGTTATTTGTTTCCAATTTAGCAGTAGTAGGTAGTAGGCAGCTACCAAACAGGGAGGTACTACTGCCTGGGAAGATATTGGAAGCAAAATGTTTTGTCTAATGGCATCACGAAAATTGTGACCAAGTCCCAGGTTGCTGATCTGACTTTCTGCTTCATTTACACACAATTGCAGGGTCTCAATTGTTTCTCTTACCATTGACAACACACATACATATATCGTTTCTCACTTTTCATCTTTTTTTCATTTTTGTATTTATAGTTCTTTATTATTAAAATTATTATTATTATTACAGTTACTGTATTATCATCATTATTTTATTATTCTATTTTTGTTTGTTTTATCATAAATTTTATTTATTATGAATTATTATGACTATTATTTATTATTATTATTATTATTATTATTATTATTATTATTATTATTATTATTATTTTTATTATTATTATCATTATTATTATTACATTTTCGCCCCCCAGGCCCCGATGTGGGTCAGTGACCTGTGTCCGGGTGGGCTAATCCCCGTGTAAAAAAATAAATAAAATTAATCTCCAATATGCATAAAAATGGAAAGCAAGAAGAAACTTCCACAGATGATGGCTGCCATCCCAACAGCACCTTCTACAAATGATGACTGCCATTTATGGGCCAAGGAAAAAGCACAGTTGTACAAAGAGCAGTATCGGACTTTTTTACTAAAGTAAAAGTATTGTTACATTGGATAAATGTGACTCAAGTAGAAGTAAAGGTATCCAAAGTTCAATGTACGTACTCAAGTAGAAGTACAGTCGGCCCTTAACATACGCGGGTTTAGCATACACGGATTTGCAAATATGCGGATTGCCCCGCCGGAGAAATATTCTGTACATTGAAGTAATTGAAGTACATTCAAATCGCGCGCCATTCAACTCGCGCGCGGCACCGAACACGGGACACAGCCCGCTCCCGCAACCTTACACACACACGCATAGCTCTCCCTCACTCGGTCAGTCTCGCTGTAACCACGCTTGTGTTGACATCAGCATTGTAGTTGCAAAAATATTACATTTCCGTGAATGTATTATATCAAGCACAGTATGAATAGAATATCACTAATATAACAGTATTTTAGCCGAAAACTATTAAAAAAACGAGTAACATGTCTTGAACATCGGAAGGTTAGGTAAAGTCTTTTGTTTTCATGTAGTTTATCCTAATTTACATTGAAATACATTACGTTTCAGCAAAACTACTATTTATTTCTGAGAATATGGAAATGTAATATTTTTGCTGAAATGACGTACGTATTACGTTGGAAAGTGACGAAAGCAAAGACTTTAGCTTTCTTTCGTTCAAAAGATGTTACCGTAATCGCTTTTCGAATGGTTTTCAGTTAAAAAACTGTTGTATTACAATAATATTCTATCCTAATTCACTTGTGATGCAACAGTTTTTTTAACTGAAAACCATTTGAAAAGCGATTACAGTAACATCTTTTGAACGAAAGAAAGCGAAAGTCATTGTTTTCGTCACGATTTTATCCCACTTTCCACTGTAATACATACGTCATTTCAGCAAAAATATTACATTTCCGTGAATGTAGTATATCAAGCACAGTATGAATAGAATATCATTGTAATACAGTATAACAGTATTTTAACCGAAAACTATTAAAAAAACGAGTAACATCTCTTGAACATCGGAAGGTTAGGTAAAGTCTTTTGTTTTCGTCATGTATTTTATCCTATTTTACATTGAAATACATCACGTTTCAGCAAAACTACTATTTATTTCTGAGAATATATTCATTCAGGCGCAGTTTAGGTAAAATATACATGTGATGTAACATTTTTTTAACTGAAAACGATTCGAAAAACACGTGTACCGTCTAGCCCTGTTCAAGGAGAAGACTGGGAGGAGCTGTTTGGTGCTTAAGACGATGACAAGGAAAATGATTTTGATGGATTTTAATGAAAACATTCAGAAATATGGTATCTTAGTATTTATTCAAGTGAATTAGGATAGAATATTATTGTAATACAACAGTAGTGACGATGTGGAGGAGGCGGAGGGATAGAGCGGGGAGGAGTGGTGACTGGCGGGAGCAGGGACGAGTGGAGATGCCAGCCAGTACATTACGGGTGTACAGTATTAATTGTTTTTATAGCTCTTTTTGCATTTTAATATTAAATACTGTACATTACGTTTCAACAAAACTACTGTTTATTTCTGAGAATATGGAAATGTAATATTTTTGCTGAAATGACGTACATATTACAGTGGAAAGTGGGATAAAATTGTGACGAAAGCAATGACTTTCGCTTTCTTTCGTTCAAAAGATGTTACCGTTATCGCTTTTCGAATGGTTTTCAGTTGTGGGATTATGAGGCTAATGATAGGATAGAATATTATTGTAATACAGTATGGTACAACAGTGGTAAACCTGGGAGTGAAGCCAACTATACCATGGGTAGAGGGTCTAAGGGTCTAAGCACACTCGGCCCTTGAGCGAGTTTTTAAAGCCTCCATTCTATATGTGTGCTGCACTTACACAATCAGATTTTATAGAGCTGTGCCACACTTCTTGAGTTAAGGGTTATTATAATTATTTTTATCTAAAGCATGAATACATACAATGATATTATTATTATTTTGCTAATTACGAAATAAAACAAATACTTACTGTAAAGGAGTTTGTGTGAGTATTTGGACCTAAAACTTGACATAAACAACTGGTAGGCCTAAGGTAACAGATGGGACCAGTTCAGTTTTGGTCCCAAGGTCCAGGATTTGAGGGTCTATAACTGTAATGAGTTATGTTGCCTTATAACAAAAAATCATTCAGTGGTAAGGACCGGATCTTACCTCTTCTCCTTTGGTTGCTATAGTCTGAACCACTGGCTGAGCCACTATCAGAAAAACAGGTGGAACATGACTCGCTGCAGGACTCTGAGGCTGAACCAGCACCAGATTCTCCATACAGTACTGAGCTGCATGAAGCACTAGAGCTGCACGATGATTCTAAGTCACGGGCATTTTCCAAAGCTGTTGTGGCTATCTGGCTGTCTCCAAGGCGTCTAGCAACAGTATTGACTGCCATAAAGCAGTCATAATCCTTCAAATCAAGAGCTAGCCGAAATGCCTTTTCCAGTCTACCAGACCTATGAAGAAGAATTAAGACAATTAACTTACTTAAGCATTGAATTTATCTGTAGCTACCTACCTAACTTGATTCCTAAGTTACTGGAAACAATCAGCCTCACTGGACTTACCTCAATTCATTTCAGATTGATGTTGACAATTTATACATATACTATTTTTATTTTTATTTTCTATTTTTAAGTATTAGTTAAGCAATTCAGACCATTCATCCATTTAAATTATTGAAATATTAACCATAAAATAAAGGATGTGACAATATCTTCCAGTTAAAGAAAAAAATCTCAACTTTGAAGATGAATCTAAGAAGAATGCTGATTGGTCAGATAAATATGCAAAATAAAAATCTTGCACAAGAACTCTTCAATACTCGATGAAATTTGCTTGGAAAATCATTCTCAAACCCGGAATTTTCCAACAATTTCCGACTTTAGGAAAAAAATTCCGAGGTTGAAAATCAAGAGAATTTTCTGAAAATGTGTTGAATAAAGATGAAAGTTAAAGTACTTTGAGGGGACCTGACCTGACCTGACCTTTCTCAATGGCAAGTGGAGGTAGGGTGGGGGATTAATGGTCTCATATTACTGACTTTCTGATGGAATGTCAGGTCACCCTTTCTTGGGTGGGGGATTAGTGGGTCTCATGACCTGAAGATGTCTTGAATAAACACGAAAGCTAATGTATTTTTAGTGCGATTGTGATAAGTATAATTATAAATGAGAAAAGTTGCGACACTTGCACCACTGGATCAGGAAAAGGGAGAGCCAAGATGTGTGGTTGCAGCCTGCGCTCTTGCCTCACCACATAAATCAACTCACGGGCAGCCATCAACCCAGCTCATCTTACCTCTCACCATCATCAAAACCCCCTATACCCCCATAAACCCAATGGCGACAGACGAGTGGTGACGGGGACAGACAGAGATGACTGCCGGGAGTCTTTAGTCACAACTCTGCACATGGGCAGCACAGATAAGAGGGTCGTTCATGCACTGGGACCTAGGCAGCACTGCAATCCGGTCCTCTCTGTGCGGCTGAGCAGCCCTTTTGAGGAACCACTCTGCTCACCTCAAAATGGGGAGGGGGCTAGAAAAGGTGCCTAAACATAGCCTGCCTATAAAAACAACCTGACTGGGCAACACCACCCAGTAAGGTCATCCTTATGCAGTTGAAAACACAATCAAAAGCACAGATCCAAACAAAAGCAAACTATACACCCTCTTATGGTCGCTGCATGAAATGTCAGGACCCTTCTGGGTACTGGCACAAATGAGTGTCCTGAAAGAACTGCCCTTGTGGCAAAAGAGCTGGCTAGGCATAACATCAACATAGCAGCCACCTGTGAGTCCTGACTCCCAGATGAGGGTCAACTTGTAACAGCAGCATTTGCATTATACAGTATAAATATATACCCAAATGTATAATACCAAATTATTCACCAAGTTATTCAACTGTGCCTGAGCTGTTGACATTATGCATGGCTGAGGTTGCAGTTCCTTCGGGGAGCGAGCGAGGTCAGGCTGAGTTCAGCTCATGTTAGCACAACAGTACATCTGACGTGTTTCCTTTCTCACACTCCAGAGGGCAGGCAAGGTCAACCAAATTATAACATAATTGGCCTGCTCCTCATCTCTCTCTTGATAATAGTGGCTGGAGAGAGATCAGACTCATACTTTTTGTTACCCAGAGAACACCTCACTTAAGTGTTTTCCTGTGTATGTACACTAAGACATTTCCCCTAGTACAGAAGGTACAATCTACTCTCAACTGAACTCAGTACCTGTGTAACTATAATTTTCTACAATAAAGAAAAACCAACAAAGTGTTTACTTCAGCCCAGCCACTTATTAGTTGCAGAACTAATATATATAATTGTGTGTGACATATATCTATAAAAAGGACCAACACACTGGTGGCAGCGGTGAGAAGGATTAATAGAAGAATCGGTCGGACACTCAGACACAAACATTACTTCAAGTGATTCCAGTGACTTAAGATGACAGGATTTACTATAGTGCATTTTTTCCCAGCTGAGAAAAGATGCCCGCCCCCTCCTCAAGAGTTACAGCTGATTGGCTGTTGCAAACCTGTCCAATTTTGTCCTAAGTAAAGATGTATTTCTAAATGAGTTTATTAATAAAGACCGTTTCTGACAAGACAGATATTTAACTAAATTATATAGAGATGAATACCTTCATTTTTATAAACAGGATCACGTAGGAAGTTTATCAGAAGTATTATACGTGAATTAACTGATAAACTCGGGTAGCAAATTCACGCTTTAGGAGGATGCATTTAATAAATACTTATTTTTACCCACAATAAGACATACTAAGACAAATTACATATCAGTAATAGTACATTATGCAAAAATAAAATTTTAAAAGATCAGAATCACATTGAAATATTACACGCCCGTCAGCAGAGGCGGGAAATATGACTGTGAACTACTTCATATTTTTCCTGTATCTGCTAACGGTCTGAAATAATGAAGGTATGTATCTTTATATAATTTACCTAAATTTATTTCTCGTCAGAAACGGTCATCCCAACGATTATGAATAAACTCGTTAAGAAATACAGTCTCTCCTCGACTTACGACAACCCGGACACACGACCATATTTTTCACATTACGTATTTTCGAGTCCCGGCTGTGGTCGTAATGTGACACCGTACGATAGCTGTCTGAAAAAAGCGAACTTGATGACCAACCCAGCCCTGTCTCCTCCTCTGCCTCATTCAATTAAGCCCTGTCTCCTCCTCTGCCTCATTCAATTAATGTAGTCTACATGCTTAATTAAAAAATTATTGAGGCCCCCGTGTGCATTCAGCTGACTACATTAAAAGTAAGTGCACAGTAACACTTTATTAATTTTTCAGTATTGATTACTTTTACTGTACTGTATTCTATTTTAGAATTTCTATGTATTATTTTCACCTTTTTGACTTACGACCTGGTCGTCAGGACGGAACCCCATCATAAAGTGGGGTTGAGACTGTACATCATTACTCGTGGCAAAATCGGACTGGTTTGCAACAGCTGTACTCTTGAGGAGGGGGCGAGCCATTTTTTCTCAGCTGAATACTCTAAAGCAAACAATTTAGATCATATGCAAATTTGTGTATGAAAACCCCGAGTGTTAATGTGATGATGATATCACTAAAAGCATTCTTGTAATGTCCTTCAATTTTAAGGGAAATTTAAAATGATCTTACCTAAGTACCTGAAAGAAGAATCGTCGAGTCAGTGCCCTCACCGCTGGGCCAAACTCCTCTTCAACGGCCTGACTGAGAGGCTGGACTGGAACATGAAAACTTCCCAAGGCACCTTCTAACTGGTTTTCTCTTTGGGGAGTCACTGACAAACGTAACAGATGGTTGACAATGGAGGTTAAACATCGCATGGTTATACTTCCTTCTTGATCCCAGTTCAGGGAAACCAGGAGGTTCACGGCTTCATCTAGCTGACGATGTTTGATATATTGAGCCACCAGTGCTGAGGCTGTGAGACCATCTTTGCTCACTGCACTGACATCAACACGCAAGCAAGCTATGGGTCCCCGAATATAATGGAGTAAAAGTAAGTGGGGATTATTTTTTAGCAGGGAATCTTCAGGTTTTCTGATTGGGGCCCATGCAAGCTTTAACAGGGACTGTTGATGGCAAAAGTGTTCAGAAAAATCAAGAATTCTTTGAGGATTAGGATCTTCCATAATTAATTGCAATCTAATGAGAGACAAGGCCAAATCAAAACACTGGATCTGTCCTCTTTCATTACTCACAACAACTAAGTTCCCTGAGTCCAACCAAGCAATACTAGATGGTATTAGTCCTGCTTTTGTTACGTGTGTCATGCCACGAGAGTCACAGTGCAATGCCAAAACACCATTGTTACAAGCCAGAAGTAAACGATCCTCTGCTGGGTTGTGTGAGTGTGCCATTAGTGGAGCTTCTAAGGGGATAGTGGTTACAGTTAAACGATGTAATGCGCCTCTCTCCACCTGGTGAAGTAAAAAAATATATATATAAATAAGAAAAGTATTAGAAATACTGCTTTAAACTTTTGATAAATCAGCACAGGTTCTGTATGCTGTACCTTCATTTCTTGTTTATTAAACTCTAACAAAATTTATATCACAAGGTATTTCAGAGTGTTTGTAAAAAATTACATAAACAGTAAAATTATAGCTTTACTGACTAAGATTAGTGCCTCTATAAATGAGGATTAATTAATTGATTGATTGATTGAGGTAATTACATGCCAGGCGACTTTAACAGTTTAGGTCATATGTCGCCAAATTACAATCAAGGCTTAAAAGACTAAAATAAAATAATGGCAGGTAAAAACGAAATAAATAACACAGAACTTTCATAAAAACATTTAAACATTAACCCCTACACCCTGGGTGATGTCGTTCCAGAGCGGTTGATTGGTGCATCCCGGGTGACATTCCAGAACGAGCGCCTTTTCCCGTTGCTGTTTGAATGCCCAACCCGGGTTAACAGGTACCAGCATGACTATTTTTCTCTCCCGGCACACGGAGGGGATGCAAATGTTTGACGAAATGGATCAAAATGTTGAGCGCTTTGCAAAAGTTGACAGAATGATCCAAGACATTGATGAACCACCCAGCCCTGTCTCCTCCTCTGCTTCATCCAATTAATGTAAGTCTCCATATTTAATAAAAAAATTATTGGAGCCCCATGCGCATTCAGCTGACTACATTAAAGGTAAGTGGTCAGTATCATTTTATTAATTTTTCATTATTGATCACTTTTACTGTACTGTAATACATTTTAGATTTTCTTTCTATTATTTTTTGCATTTTCGACTTACGACAAATTCGACTTATGACCTGGATTTGGGTCCCTAACCCCGTCGTAAGTTGGGGACAGCCTGTATAGAATAATACTACACTAATATAATTATTATTGTTGCTGTTATTTCTGTATTATCATTACTGTATTATTATTTAATGCCATTATTACTATTATTAGCAATACCATATTTTTATTGTTATTATTAAAACATTCCATGTACAATATTATGATTATTGTTTAGCGCACTTTCGTCGCCCCGTTTATCCGGACATTTGCCACGGACACCCTCTGCCCCCCTAATTGTCTGGAAGTGCAATGGAATTTAATGAGATTTCCAATGGTGGCTTTGGAATTTTAATATGGCTAATTGTCGGGAGGGTGGGAGAGGAAGTAAGGAGACAAATGCGACTTATCAGCATGGCTGTCGGAAGAAAATTGATGGGCAGCTGAACTCCACCCACGCTTTGGTACTTTCTGGATGCTTCCCTCGCAGGATCATGCATTCATCTGTGACGCATGAAAATCTGAAGCAATTATCTTGCAAACTTATTTGGTGGGGTGGAGGAGGGAAGAATTTTTTAAAAGTTTTATGATGCAATTCACATCACCCATACAAATAGTGTCATCCAATGAATTGACGCAATGTGAGTCATAATGCGCTAGGGGGTTAAAATATAAACCCTGCATGAAGAGGTGGGGATGTCTCATGACAAAAAGTTACCTTATTGAAGTAGTTACCAAGAAATTATAATATGGATGCACTGAGCTCTGCAATAAATTTCATTTGTATCTCAAGTGTTCTAATTTTGTGATATTTCACTCGAAGGATTTTTCAATTGAGTTAATAGCCGTCCTATCGTTGAAAAAGTGTTTAGTTAGCTAGGTGTTTATGTTTAAAGTCTACGTATGTTGTATCAGTTATGTAGGTCCATATGTACTATGTATGTATAAGTTATGTAGGTCCATATGTATGCATGTATATTCTATGAACGTGCTGTTACCTTTACTTTGTATTATTATATTGTCCAAGACCTGGCAAACTACCTTGCCACCCAAACTGCCATCAGGGAAGTAAACCATATCAACATGGGTAGGTCTGGCAGCTCACCAGGCAGTCTTACCAATCTGTCCATACAGAGCACATGTTTGTCCAGGGGTCTTGCCTCTGTACTGATATTCCTTCAGTAAACTCCAGTAAACTAATTGTCTTTTCACTTGTCAACTCCTATCAATCATCTGCTGAATAAATCTGAAATTCAGGGGTTGATGTAAAAAATTATGGACAATTGTTCACATTATTAACTTACCTCATACACACAGCTGAGCACTGTCACACCTCCCTTTTTTCCAAAGCCCTGTTCCACAGTCAGCAGTACATTAGGTTGAACCTTGCTGAAAGAGACACTAAGAGGTGCCATTTCTGTGCGACAATAACACATCAAATCAAGATTTGTCCCGTGTAGAGCATATACAAGAATGTTTGCACGATCGCGGTCTTTCGCAAGAGGACTCCACGGGTACACCTCATCTTCACTTGTCTGCCACCACACTACTATCTGAGGACATATAGAAGTACAGGTAAATAAACTTCAGTATGAGTAACAATATTAGAAGAGGAATCAAAAAATAAAATAATGGTTGCCCCTCGTGGAATGAGGATGGCCGGCCCTAGGGCCCCCGAGGTGTGAGATTGTTTAAGGTGCAAAAGCTGTCACCAACACAACAACCACACCCTAAGTTAACGAGCTGCATGACCCAGTGTCACGGAATAGTCCAAGAAGACCGGACAGCTCGCCAACTGCACTGGCAAACCATTACCCCGGAACGTTCCGCAAATCAATTAACATCCAGGTTCCCAATTACTGCTGGTTAGACAGAGGCAAATGGCATAACGAAACTTGCCCATAGTTTCACCCTGCCCAGGGATCGAACCTGGGTTCGCTCGCTTGCGAGGCGAGCATCCTGACCATTACACCACAGAATAATGTAACACCAAGAAATTCCCTCTTAAGCAAAATCTTGAAAAATGGAACTTAAAGCAAACCAAATACATTTTCCTCATAAGAATTAAGTAGAGTTTCAGAAAAAAAAATTCCATGCAACATTTTCATGTAACTTTTAACAAAAACATAAGTTAGGGATGAATTAGACACACACACACACACATAAAAAAAATATAGTGCATTTTTCCCAGCTGAGAAGAGATGCCCTGCCCCTTCCTCAAGATTTATAGCTGCTTGGTTGTTGCAAATCTGTCAGATTTCGTCCTGAACTAACAATATACAGTGATATCCCTATGAGCCGGAACAATTGGCACACAGCACTTCTGGGGATGAGAGATTTCAGGCTAACCAGATGACATACCCAAACCCAGAAAAATTCCTTATCTCCAGAATCTTTTCTGGTTACTGGGGAAACATTCTGAGTGTCTAAATTAGACACCTTGCACAGACAGACACAAGCCCACTTACCCAGAACGTTTCTGGATGCTGGGGATGTTTTCCTTGAGTCTAAACTCCCAGCATCCGTAAATGCAGTTCTATTTAAGTTAGAAACTCCATTTCTTTTCTATAATAATCCAGAATAGTTTATCTAAAAGTTTGGTTAAATAAAAATATTTAAAAATTTAAAATCTATAGGATATGGGGGTAAATGTAACTGTGTTAAAGCAAAGACTGTGTGGATGTGTGTGTGTCTGCGACACACACAGGGTGGTGAAATGTGTCTAGTGTGGCAGCATTATATTATATTAGTGTTAAGGTGCAAGCACTGCTTGCTCCCTCTGGCTTTCAGCTGGCGTCGCTGGCTAGCCCTCATGGCAAACAGGGAAGCAACTTGCATAAGTCTTCCCCAGCCAGTACACAGCCTCCTCACCATCAAAACTCCTGCTGTGCCACCTCATGTTAACTCACGGTAACTGGGTGCCTCGTGGGCCCAGGCTAGATCAGCAGGGAATCTCTGAGTAGCAGTGGGCCCCAGAGGGATGGCGCATAGCCTCACTGGCACGTGGACACGTCCTGGAGCCTACCAACCACTGTCCCGCTGCTTTGCAGATCAACCTTGACAGGTATAAGGCTACAGGAGTAAACCCCAAACGAAAAATCTGCGGTGGAGCCCCGCATCAGACAGACATGCTTATAGAGCTCCAACATGACCCCAACTGTATTGTAGACGGAAGAGGTGACCACCATGGAAACCCAATGACTACACTTGCGGACGAAGGCAATGCCTGATGGACAGGCTACTAAGGCGGAACCCAACAAACTGGGCTATCGGCAGTCCATTGCAACTCTCCCTCTCCCCAGTTGTTGCAACACTTGCACCACTGAATCAGGAAAAGGGAGAGCCAAGATGTGTAGGTGCAGCCTGCGTTCCTGCCTCACCACATAAATCAACTCACCTCACAGCTATCACCCAGCTCATCATACCTCTCATCAAAACTCCTCATACCCCCCTAAAGTCCTATGACAACGGACAAGTCGCGACAGCAACAGGCAAAGATGATTGCCGGAAGTCTCTAGTAACAAATCTGCACATGGGCGGCACAGATAAGAGGGTCGTTTATGCACTAGGATCTAGGCAGCAGTGCAATCCGGTCCTGTCTGGGCGACTGAGCAGCCCTTCTGAGGAGCCACTCTGCTCACCTCACATGGGGAGGGGGGTAGAAAAGGTGCCCTAAACATAGCCTGCATAAAAACCCAACCTGACTGGGCAACCGCACCCAGTGAGGTCATCTTTATGCTGTCGAAAACACAATCAAAATCACAGATCTAAACAAAAACAAACCGTACAACCTCTTATGGTCACTGCATGGAATGTCAGGACCCTTCTGAATACTAGCACAAATGGGCATCCTGAAAGAAGAACTGCCCATGTGGCAAAAGAGCTGGCTAAGTATAACATCGATATGGCAGCCATCAGTGAAACCTGGCTCCCAGATGAGGGCCAACTCACAGAATGGAGGTCTGGCTGCATCTTCTGGAAGGGTAAGCCTGCTGCGGAGAGAAACTGCATGTATGGAGTTGGATTTGCCATCCGCCAACGCATCATACACAAGCTAACTGAAATGCCTATTGGGATCAACGAGCGCCTCATGGCGCTTCAAGTCCCACTGAATCACTCACGTCATGCCTTCTTCATCAGTACATGTAAGTGAGCACATGTGTAAACATATCGTCATTACTCTACATAAGAATATGAAAGCAATACGTATTTACTGTTCATATACAGTATAGTTTAATTAATGTTTCATTATTTTTAAAAAATCTACCCACCAGTGGTGGTAAAGTTGAAAACATATGGACAACCAATGTTGTTGTTGTGTGTGTGTTTTTACTTGGATGACCAAGTTGTATCAATCCGCATTGATAGATGAAATGATATCAGCTCTAGAAACAGATATAGTTTGAGAATTAGGGGGAGGGAAAAATGTGAAGAAGAGTGAAGAGTAGAATCATCAGTGTAAGAATGGATAGAATTAGAAGTAGTGTGAAGTAAATCATTGATAAAATGAAAGAAGAGAGTAGGTGAAAGAACAGAACCCCGTGGGACACCGCTATTGGTAGAGAAAGAGCGTGAGATCAATCCATCGACAACAACTGCCATGGATCGGTTCTCAAAGAAAGTAGAAATTAGAAAACAAAGTGGGGCAGAGAAACCATAAGTGGGAAGTTTAGAAAGCAAAGACTTGTGCCATACCCCGTTAAATAATTTGGGAGATATCGAGGGCCACGACGAAAGATTCTCCATAATCCCTAAGAGAGGATGACCAAAGATGGGTGCAGTAGGAAAGCAGATCAACAGTAGATCTCGCCTGGCAAAAGCCATACTGGTGATCTGACAAAAGTAAAAGGATTTCAAGGTGACGGAGAAAATAAGATTTTAAGATAGTCTCACAAATTTTAGAGAGGGATGAAGTTAGGGCAATGGGGCAATAGTTAGAGGGTTTGGAATGGTCACCTTTCTTTGGGATGGGCTGAACCAAGGCATGCTTCTAAGAAGAAGGAAAAATTTGGGTTTTAAGGCAAAGGCCAAAGAGGCTAGCAAGCACAGGGGCTACAATTTCAGCACACTCCCTCAGAACACGAGGGGGTATTCCATCCGGTCCATGCGCCTTACTCACATCCCACCTGGATAGCACACCAGCAACCCTATGAGTGGAAATTATAGGAAAGTGTACAGGTTCAGTAGGAGGAGTAGGAGGGATAGAGTTGGAATCGTCTAAGGTGGAGTTAGAGGAGAATAAGGTGCCAAAGAGATTGGCTTTATCAGGGGAAGAGTTGGCTATAGAGTTATCAGGTTGGAAGAGAGGAGGAAAAGAGGGAGTACAGAAGTTGGTACAGATATTTGTGATTAAGGACCAGATGGATTTACTAGAAGAGTTAGTCAGGTCAGCGGTATTTGTTTTTATAAAATTCTGCTTGACCCTACGAAGAATAGCCTTACAACGATCCTAGAAGTAATGAAAGAAGAGTGGGTAATAGGAGGAGGTAGTTTCATAACTTGATATGCCCTATCTCTCTCCCTACTTACAAGAGAACAGGAGCGATCAAACCATGATTGTAAAGTGAAAGTTTTGGTAGAATATGGGATAAATGCACTCATACTACCCTGTATAACCCCAGCAATGCTGTCAGCACATACTGAGGCTCCCGAGTGGAAAAGTAACATTCATCCCAAGGAATGTCGGAGAAGAATTCTCACAAGGATTGCCAGTTTGCCCTCCAATAGTGCCACAGTTGGTGTATAAATGGGGGTGGAGGAGGTGGTCGCGCCCAGTTTGATTTAATAGAAATAAGATTGTGATCAGAAAAACCTAAGGGGGCAGAAATTAAGAATGAATAATGTGAGGATCTAGAGGTAAAACAATGATCAAGAATGTTAGTAAGTTGATCATGTTGATCTGGAACATGCATAGGGTGTTTAATAATTTGTTCCAAATCATTAGGTAAGGAAAAAGAGATGAGCCTCGACTCCAGCTGGGTCATCCCTTGCAGAGCCAAGCCACTCTCTGTGATGTACATTGAAATCCCCTAGGTAGAGGATCTCGGTGTTGGGGTGTGTGGATAGCAACGACTCATGGCAAGAAGTGAGATAGTCAAAGAGTTCCAAGTAGTTGGTAGAATTGTGAGAACAATACAGGAAACAAAGAAAAATAGTCTGAGTTGTTATAGTAAAGTAAACCCTCAATAACTCGGCATTTGATAACTCAGAATTTCATATAACTTGGCATGGATATGGTCTCGAAATGAATTATAACTCGGGAAATGCCGAGATACATAAAACTATCTGGGAAAATATCAGCATATCTGGCTACCTGCATCACCTACCATGCTTCTGTCACCTACCATGCCTCTGTGTCATCTACCATGTTTCTGTGTCACCTACCATGCCTGTTTCACCTCCCATACCTCTGTGCCACCTACGATGATGCTTCATTCTTCGCCTGCAGTGCTTGTAAGTGTTACTTTTTAACATTTTGTAATTACATGTACACATATATAGGTAAAAAAAAAAATGATTGTATTTTTTTAGGAGGGGGAAAGAGCCTCAATAAGTCAGAATTTGGGATAACTCAGTAAGGCCAAAGCCCCATATGTGCCAAGTTATCAAGGGTTTACTGTACATTAATTCTTATGGGGAAAATTGCCACGATATTTGCAGTTTCATTAAACACAATGACTTTTAGGAATGCATCCTTTGCGATAACTAGGGTATTCCTATATAGAGGTTCTACTGTATGCCTGAAAAAGCTGTGTTTGTATGAGTGGAACAAATAATCATATAATGTTGCATGATGGATTTTGGGAACCAAGTTTTGCTTGTATTATGAATTTATGTTCCCAGAAATATCTATTACACTCACCATATCACCAGAAAGATTTGCCGATAACTTCCGTTCAAATCGTCTGCCTGAAGGCCCAGCAACTTCACAGGTGTGTATCTTGGGATCCAAAGCAGATAATCGCTCAAATTTATGTCCCTCCGGTGGTGAACGTGTGAGGTGCACTACTGACAATCGACACTCATTGTAGGAAAACAACATGTGATGTTTTGTCATTACAACTGAAAGGTGAAAAGAAAGGTTTTTAATCTATTATTTATAGCTATTACACATTCCCACAAATTTCACTAATCCTTTGGAAAAAACAAAAAATAAAATAATGTACACAACTCTTCTCACTTATTCATTCTCAGTCAAGTTCAAAATATTTCAAATTTCAACTTGAAAATCTTTTGCATAATCCACTTGAAACAAAATTTCAAAATACAGTGATATCACTGTTAGCCAGCATAATTGGTGCAGAGCTCTTATAGGAATGAGATTTCCAATGTTTAGTGATGAATATTCTCTTCCCCGGAAAAAATTACACATCCCGGAATTTTTCCAAGTGCTGTACACTACTGTACTGGGGAAAGTTTTCCAAGAATCTACACTACGCATCTCACAAAGACAAGGACAGAACTGTATTTATTTATGCTAACACCACTGCACACGTATAATATATTGTAAATAAACAAAATATATCACTGTATACACTACAGTAATTACTGTAATCAAATTATACTGTACTCACCAACAGATGCTGTCATCTTGAGCTTGTTATGCAGGCAGGCGAAATGGTGATATGATGATAAAGGATGGCTTGCTTTGTCCTGTACCATCTATGTAGCAGCTTGTCCTAACTGTTACTTTCCCTTCCCTCCGCGAACAAAAGAGGCAAATCAGGAGTGAAACAAATTATTTCCACCACCGATCAATTGCTGGACAGGGTGATGACGAGGCATGTGGTGATGGATAGAATGATTATGAAGCATGAGATGGTGGTGGTGATGGTAAAGGTACAGTAGGTGTGCAATCTCTGACATTGAGGGATGTGGACTGGGGCCATAGCAGACAGCACAAGGAGTGGAGTGGGGATCTTGGGGAAGAAGACCCCCAATCTTACACTGCTTCATCCTGTCCTCTTCTCCAGTTCATCTATGACAACTGCTCTCATCTCCGAAAAGTTCTGGTAAAAGGGAAGAAAGCTTAGGATGTCAGTGGTAGCCGTATAATACAGGAGGCGGTCCAGGTACTGGATGTTCTCGCCTCTCTGAGACCAGTGGTGGTACCATCCTCCAATTCTTCCTCTCCATCGTCCTCTTCCTCCTCCTGTCCTTCTTCATGGGACCTGATGACACCTTCAACTATTTCCCCCTGGGTGAGGGTACCATAATCAGGATTGCCGGCTTCCACCTGCAACCACTCATGTACATCCTCCACAGTCTGAGCAATGTCACCACTGTAATGGAAAAAACTGTGGACCTCTTCCATTTTGAAGAACTCAAATTCTGCATCCTCCTGCAGTAACAGAACCTCTGCACCACCACCATTCAGGAGCTTCTTCTACACATTCTTGAGTGTTGTTTCCATGATCTTGAGCTTGAACACTGCATCCCAGATTATGTAGTCCTTAATGTGCTTCAGTGTCCTGGCCCCCTAATTATCTTCCTTCCCTTTTGACACCAGTTCCACTATCAGAACATCATTCGAGAGAAGGAACATGTAGTTTTGCTTCCAGCCCAGAATGACCCCTTTGTCCATGGGCTGTGTGAGTGAGGTGGTGTCAAGGGGTAAGAACTTCACTCTGATGCACCCATCAGCACTTTGTAAGTCATCCTGAGGGTGGCCAGATGCACTGTCAAGAATGAGCAAGGTCTTGACCTCTTGTCTGGGGGCTGTCATCTGGAGGTGCTTCTGCACATTTCTCACCACCATGGGCAGCAGAAGCATTGGCACATTATAGCACTGACACACTGCTTTCTGGCCTCGAGTCCAGGGGTCCGGCTCTTCCACCAGGATGCTACTGTGTTGTTAGGCAGGAACTTCCAGCAGTGGCCTGTCTCATCCATGTTGCACATCTTGTACTTCTTTTTGTGTACTTAGTTCATAAGGATCTTCAATTCGGTTAACGAACAAAAATTCGGTTAACGAATTTCTTACGAACCGACCTCAACATGTTTTCGCTTGCACTGACCGGGCAACCAGCTTTAGTATCAGTCCACCAATACATTAATCGGTTCTAGGGCTTAAATTCCTTACTATTTTAGTAAATATCAAGAAGTTTATACTATTCAATAATTTTAAATGTTTAATATTCAATTTTTTAGTCATTTTAACAATTATTGAACATAATTGAAGGTAAAGAGACTAGTTTAATGCGCGGCATCCAGCCTCTTAACACAGCAAACAGGCGTTAGTCTCTCTCTGTTTTCACTGGAGGTAACATCTTGCTTGAGACTCTCTTCAACTAAACGCTTTTTTTCTGTGTTTCCAAGCAAATTATTGGTCATTTTGAAATATATTTTACATATTGACAATATATAATGCAGTGCAGTGTTGATTTAAAGAAAATAATCTTGAATTACACCAAGTGAACTTAAATTTTTTTGGGTGAAATGGCAGCATGGGGTGACTTCTCTTCCACCCCACTGCCTTCTCTTCTCCCTTCTCCTCCATCCCCACTTCTAATTCCCATCATCATCATCAACCAGGAGCCTTCTACATGCACACCTCAAAGTAAGTGTACTTTACTGCATTTATTTTTAGTTTGTATGTAATTTTCGCCAATTACCCAAAATCCCATTGAAACAATGGTTTCGGTTAATGAAATTTTCAGTTAACGAACGACCTTCTGGAACAAATTGTGTTCGTTAACCAAGGGACCACTGTACATTTTAGTACAAATGACTTAAAATTTCTATCTCTTGTGCAAATTATATGATGTATATATTTTTTATATATATATATTTTTTTTTGCTGTCTTGCAAGGATTCCAGCAATGTAATTTATATTCTGCTAACTTTAGGCAGTGCCATTTTATGTCAAGTTTAGTCACTTTTATTGGCCTCCAGAACCTAACCCAATTTTCGCCCATTGATTACATGTAATTATATATCACGATTTAGTATATAGCAAACATCCTTGGACCCTATCTTGCAATATATCCCGACCCCACTGTACTTACCTCAGTTTTTTAATAAATCTCACAGAATAGAGGGGTGGATCCAGGAATAACAAGGGGGGCAAGATTGTGGGTGGAGAAACATGCGAGCACAGCAAGCCTATCCAGCTTATCTTTTTTTTTTTTGAGGGAGGGGGGGAGAGTGCTGTAAACCCCCTCATAATTTTGTTTTTAATTCTGACCAATATCATGGGCATTTTGAGGCCATTTTGAAGCCATGTGCAATTGATATAAGGAGATATTCTGAGGTAATTACTCTTTATTATACAAAAATACCTGAGTACAATCCAGCATTAAGGTAAAAGTATTGAAATTTTCTGGTAAAAAGGTTTGAGGGTGGGTATGGACCCCCAGGACCCCCCTGGATCCGTCCTTGCAGAAGATTTATTTACTCTATAATAGCACCATATTAATGCTGCACTCTTGGCATAACAAGACATTCTAATAACTTCATTTTCTTCAAGTTATTGCTGTCTTTTGCCCTTTTTCACTGGATACATTTATGCTACTCACTTTATGTTTAGGGGTCATGGTTAAGGGCAATTGTCACAGAAGAATTCAAGTAAAATGGTTTTGCAAATGGCTAAGTTCTAATAGACAGAGTGCAATGAGCATAATCTATGTACCATCTGCCTCACTTGTATGGTCCACTGATTCTGACTCAACAGGCATTGTTATACTCAGTTATGAGCACTGCCTAGTAGAGAGCAGCTGATCAGAAATACTGTAATATAAAAATTTATTGACAAAAAATTTTACAATAAATTGTAAGTCCAATGGCATTTTATTTCAAGTCATAATGTAACAAAACAAGTGTTCTTGCATGCTGCTCACTAAAAGAACTTACCATTAGCCAGATGCTCAGAAAGAAGCTTTCCAACCAAGAACTTGTCAAATACGATTCTGGTCAGATCACCTGTGCTTGGATTGACTGTCATCATTACTATTACTCCTGAAGCAAATATTAGCTGATACACTAAATGTGACAGCCAGCTTTCCCAAACTACCCTCTCTCTTGACATCAAGTCCTGAAATAAAAATAAAACAAAATAATTGCACATCATCATCAAATTTTTTCAGCCATTTTCCACACTTGCATGGGTTTTACCCTCACCTACATCACTAATAAATACTTTTGTTTTTGCCACACTTACTCTTAAGCCCTTTGCCTCTATTCCATCTTTCCATTTCTTAAATTTTTCCTCTGCCTTTTCAATACTACCTGCTATCAGTGTACTGACCACAGTTGTACATGTTAGTTAACATAAAATAAAAAATTTATATTACGCGCAATACTCCATAAAACACGTAGCTGTGATTTCTTTATTGAGTCCCCCAGTTGAGACGTCCATTTTCTCACCGCTTCAATACGCCTGAGTCCTCCGTTTTCTCTCATGTACCTCAGAGACTCAGGTATTTCTTAATGCCTCATTTGGTGTTCAAGAGATTTGAAATTGCGATTGAATGCATATGTTTTACATTAACTCAGATATACTTACAGTGAGATAAAGCATTCAAGGTGTATTGAGTGTTTTTACATTAAGTCACATATACTTACAGTGAGATAAAGCATTCAAGGTGTATTGAGTGCATGTTGAAAGTATCATAATCTGCATGTGGAGAGTAAGTAGTGTTAAGACATTGTGTTTTGAGGACCCACTCGCCCAGTCGACCTATCATGCATCAATTAATTTAAAAAAATAAATAATAATGTAAAATGTTATAAGACAATGGTTTAGTAGTGCTGTTAATGTGTGTGTTGTTTAAGTGTCTTGGCATGTCACCTCACCACCTGACTCCTGAACAAACTCTTCATCAACTTCTTCAAATCCCTAAAATGTCCTTGGCAAGCTCGAAAAAACACGCACGCACACACACACGGGAGTTAAGACAACAAGCATCAAGTGAGGGCCTTGTTGTGTGACTGCATGGAGCTTATCGCTCGGCAACACTGGTGCATGTTATCACTCCTTTCCACTCCATCTATGTAATCACCCACACCTTTCTGCTTTCTCACTCCATATTTTAAAATGTTATGTTATGTAAAGTTGAAAATGTTGAAAGTAAACAACTTTGCTCATTTATACTTATACTTACCACTATCTCCCTAAAAATACTTTGGGTTTCATGTTTATTCAAGACATCTTCAGGTCATGAGACCCACTAATCCCTTACCCAAGAAAGGGTGACCTAACATTCCAACAAAAGGTCAGTAATATGAGACCACTAATCCCCCACCCTACCTCCTCCTGACAATGAGTCAAGGCAGGTCTTTCCCCAAAAAAAATTGTCAGAGGTTTGAATAATAGACCAGGTCCTTTGGAAACTTTACTCTTGCAGCATCAGACAGTGACTGGCAACCCGGCGCTGCCACAGACAAACTCCCGCCTGCACACATGGGAAAACATATCGTACGTCGTTGATACTCCATCTCACATCTTCCCCCCCCAAGTTAAAAGGAATTGACATTGCACATTTGAACTAACGAAAGGAAAACAATGCAGTGATAAAAATCAATAATGCAAGAAAAACAAACAAACAGAAAGAAAAAACTAATTTTACACCACATAGTCAGCCAACCAACCAACCCAGGGGCCTGTGGCCTCTCCCGGGCCTGGCCACGCCCGACTGAGAATGCTGAGTGGCGGCGGATGGCACAGAAGGGGGGCCAGGAGGCAGTGTAGTGCACCACAGGAGTGGTAGGCTCAGGGGTGGCGCCGCATTACAGGTGGTGTCTGTTGCGGATGGGCTCCCTGCCACTGCCAGTCAACCTGACGGCATACTGCCTGTGAGGGCGGGCTTCCACCACTGTGCACGTCCTGTCCCAGAGCTTGGTAGTGGAATCCTGCACACGCACCTGCCTGTGCGCCCACAGCTAGGGTAGCCAGCTGGCGGGACACCTCCCCCGCGACAGAACGATCCCTTCCTGGGCTTCGGCCAAGCGCACCTCCCTCATACTAAGCGCCCGCTGCCTGTGCTGGTCCACCTTATAGTGCTGTCTGGCCACGGGAACACTGTCACGGAGCTGGTGGCAAGTTTGGCGGACGACATTGGTCATCCCTCGCAGAGGCGTGTTCAGGTACTGGAGGAGGGCCTGGGATGTCCTATCGCATTTCAGGCTACCCCCGGCCCCAGTGTTATCCCTGAGGAGTCTCTTGGCGGCCTTAACCACAGCCTCTGCCCTCCCATTGGAGTGGGGGAAGTGGGCCAATGAGAGCCGTACCTCGACTCCCCATGACTTGAGGAAATCCGTCATCTCACCGCTGGCTAGGTACATGTGGCCCTGCAGGTGGAACGAGTCGGCCACCACCTGTTGAAAGGGATAGTCTGGCGTGGGGGTCAAGACCAACGACTCCGGAGGATGGGAAGGGGAGTGGGTCTCGCAAGCAGCACACCCGGGACCGATGATACTTTTTTTTTACGGGGATTAGCCCAGGCACAGCCCCAGGTCTAATGCGTGTATATTTATCAGTTCTTGAGTGACTAAGCTTCTCTCTTATAAAAAGCCAGTGAAATGACCTGGGTGAATATAATTTACATTGCTGGGATTCTTGTAAGATACTGATTAATTTGAATATAAACATGCTATAATTTGCACTAGACATAACAATTTTAGTACCGTAATCAAATTAGTACATGTGCACTCCAGCTTTGCAGTAAGGTCATTTATTTATTTTACGTTTCTTTTAGTACGGTGTTTGCATGTAAATGGACGAAAATAAATGAAGAAATTTATGTAAATCTACCCAAAAATACAGTTGAAAAACTTTATATTATAAAATGTACACTAATGTACAACAACTTTTATCTCTTGAGCAAAATATATGACGTTTATATTCAAATTAATCGCTGTCTTGTACGGATTTCAGCAATGCAAATTATATTCTCCTATAGTCTGAGATATTATATGAAAAACTTAAGGCCTAACCCCCCCCCCCCAGCGAGGGGAGCGGGCGGTGAGGCGATATGATT